TATGACTACTGCTATTGCTATGACCACTACTGGTAAAATTGATATTGATCTTATTGCAACTACAACTACAAACCAAGGTATCTGATAATTGTAACTAAAACAACAAATTGTGATCGATACCTCTACAGTAACAACAATTATGGCCCTTGTCACTACTGCTAATATGTTTAATACCTGTACAAAAACTGAACAACTATTGCATTCACTCTTACTGTAATCTTCAGATCATTTTTAATCTATTTTCTTATTACCAAACACACTCTATTACTGATTACACATCAAAATTGAATGTCAAATTTCATCATATCTCAGTTTCATAACCTCACCCACCCAATTTCTATCTGTCTGCCTCTCTTTCTTTTCTCTCTCTCTCTCTCTCTCTCTCTCTCTCTCTCTCTCTCTCTCTTCTTTCTCTCTCTCTCTCTCTCTCTCTCTCTCTCTCTCTCTCTCTCTCTCTCTCTCTCTCTCTCTCTCTCTCTCTTTCTTTTCTCTCTCTCTCTCTCTCTCTCTCTCTCTTTCCGATTATCATCTAGATCCGTACAATTTCTACCTGTCTGCCTCTCTCTCTTTCTTCTCTCTCTCTCTCTCTCTCTCTTTCCGATTATCATCTAGATCCGTACAATTTCTACCTGTCTGCCTCTCTCTCTTTCTTCTCGCGCTCTCTCTCTCTCTCCCTCCCTAGCTCTCTCTCTCTCTCTCTCTCTCTCTCTCTCTCTCTCTCTCTCTCTCTCTCTCTCTCTCTCTCTTTCTCTCTCTCTCTCATTCTCTCTCTCTTTCCGATTATCATCTAGATCCACACATTCACCCTTTCTATCAACTTCAAATTCTTGACGCCAATTTGTATATCATATTCATAAAAAGACAAGGCATTTCCTTATGCCTCATCCCAAATAATTTGCCTTTGTATCAATCACTAACGAATCATGAAATTTGATATCTCTCTGGATCGAGCTACGGTGCTCATAGAATTTACCTCGTCTATTCACGTTTCAACTTCCCCGATCCCTATTTGTCCTTATGCCGCATTGCAATCCATTAATCCGTCAAAACTAGATAAAAAAAAAAAAAAAAAAAAAACATCCACCACTAATTCATCCGAAAAAAAAGAGAAAAAAACTCTCTTCATTAACCTCGCACTACTTACACAATTCTCTTCGTCGTCTCCGCTGGGGCAGTCCTTTTCGCCGTCGCACCGCCACGAGTCCCGGATGCAGCGAGTTCCGGTCCTGCACTGGGTGTATCCCTCCGCGCATCTTTCCTGTGGGTGATATACGTTATTTTTGGTTATGGAAAGTAACGATAGTGGAAGCAACATACACGAAGAGAGAGAGAGAGAGAGAGAGAGAGAGAGAGAGAGAGAGAGAGAGAGAGAGAGAGAGAGAGAGAGAGAGAGAGAGAGAGAGTAAATAATTAAAGCAAAATTAACTACTACTGAATATCACACACACACACACACACACACACACACACACACACACACACACACACACACACACACACACACACACTCACACACACACAAACACACACGAACGCGCGCGCATTGTAGGATTGTGATGTGGATGATTCAGGTGCGCCGAAGTGAGTCCGTGGATCCGCTGAAAACAACGAATGTTAGAAACCTCTAGCTTTTTGGAGTGAGCCCCGTGTATGGTCCATGTCTCACAGCCGTACAGCAGGATGGTGATACATACCGCTCTGTAGATAGCGTTCTCAGTAGAGGTGATAATGTTACGATTAAGGAAGACTCAATGTAACAGGCGTCCAAAGGCAAATGATGCGGGCTGGATTTGATTCTCGAATTTGTCTTCGATGTTACAAGGTGAAGAGAAAATGCTGCCTAGATAGATGAAGCTAAGGACCTGCCTGATGCCTTCACCTTGAAGGTAATGTGGGGCTCCTCATCGTCAGGAGCAACACACTGACAGAGAACATCATTTCCTGGCATTTATCATGAATACAGTGTTGGTATAGTTGATGGTCATGGTCCATTTGAAGTCCCTATGCTGCTGTGGCTGATGAAGGCATCAGATCTAAGGCATTCGGGGAATGGCGGTGGCCTCTAGTCGCCGGCGTTTGAAAAGGCTGCCTTCAAGACAAGGCCATCTTCCAATTGTATATTGTACCGAGAGACGAGTGCTACTGCTGCTCTTGGAAGTTACAGAGGGTTGGGACAAGGACACGGCCCTGCTTCACACCAAACTTGATCACAAATGGATCAGAAGCAAGGCATCCGATCACAACACGAGCAAGCATACCGGCGTGGACTTCTAGAAGGATCTTTAAAAAATCAGGAGGACAGCCACATTCAACCAAGATGGCCCACATGATATCACTGTTGACTGTGTTAAATGCCTTGGTAAGATCTACAAAAGCATCATAGAGGTCTCTGTCTTATTCCCTACACCTTCCCATCAAAGTCGGGCAACGAAGATCATGTCTGTAGTGTTTATGCCCCTACGGAAACCACACCATGTTGGAGACTACCTGGAGGCGGACA